TACACTTACCTCAACCATTCTTCCAATGTGAACCAACGAGCAAACTTACCTCAACCATTCTTCCAATGTGAACCAACGAGCAAACTTACATCAACCATTCTTCCTATGTGAACCAACAAGCAAACTTACATCAACCATTCTTCCAATGTGAACCAACGAGCACACTTATCTCAACCATTCTTCCAATGTGAACCAACGAGCACACTTACCTCAACCATTCTTCCAATGTGAACCAACGAGCACACTTACCTCAACCATTCTTCCAATATGAACCAACGAGCACACTTACATCAACCATACTTCCAATGTGAACCAACAAGCACACTTACCTCAACCATTCTTCCGATGTGAACCAACAAGCACACTTACCTCAACCATTCTTCCAATGTGAACCAACGAGCACACTTACATCAACCATACTTCCAATGTAAACCAACAAGCACACTTACATCAACCATACTTCCGATGTGAACCAACAAGCACACTTACCTCAACCATTCTTCCAATGTGAACCAACGAGCACACTTACATCAACCATACTTCCAATGTAAACCAACAAGCACACTTACCTCAACCATTCTTCCAATATTGGCAATGTGAGGGCTAGCTTCGCTGACTGCAGCATCAAGTTCGACCTATAAAACATAAAATTATTACATTTCTGTTACAAACTTAATTCATACACAATTTTTACTCTCCAACAAACATATTTTCAAACTGCTTTGCCCAAGGGGTTTTAAAACGACAGAATTCAAGCAGCACAGTTAATTTTTCAGATTGATAAATCACCTACAAGACATCAACTCTGTACTTACATCGTGCATATCAAATATCTTGATCCGAGCTACTCATTTTATATATATTTCCTTTAGAAAGCTGTAAAACTGTAATTATGAGCTATCAAGTGATAATTAAATTCATAAGTTGTGAAAAAAACAACAACATGGATTAAACATGCATATTTAAAAATCAGACAATGATACTGAGGTAACAGAGTAAATGGTCTTTTTATCTACAATGATTTTATTGTCGTTGTTACTATTTAATAAACCATGATTTTTCAAAATATATGACAACAGTTAAAAATCGTAAGTACCATTCAGTGATATTGTTTACGTTAAAACTTTCACTTTCTACGACACATCACTAGTTCTCGGAGAATTTGACGTTATACAGAGAACTAATAATTTTCCCATTACCATCCGGTGAATATGGTAGTTTCAAATACCTTTACAATATTATCTTACCCATGTATATTTGTATGTCAATGGGGTTTTAACATTATTAAAAAATATTAAAAATCACAGTCACCAAGTAAAGAAGCAAGATATTGAATTTTAGATTTAACGAATAATTAAAATAAATATTTGTAAATAATAAACACATGAAAAGAATGTGCCAGAACGGGTAAATATTTGTGTCGTGCTTCCTTCATTGGCCTTAGAATTACCAATAAAGTTTCTGTGAACTCCACGATTATTTTAAAACTATTAATTTTCTAAATTGCTATGACTTTGTTGTTTACAGAGTTCGTAATGAGCTGGTAAAAAAATTTATAAATACTGTCAGTATGAAATTGATTCTATTGCTGGGATCACCTGTGTATTTTATTCAGTTGTTGTTGTAACAGGTACAAATATAAAGTCACTCAATATGCTGTAATATGTGGACTTCGCGTATAGTGAATAACGTAAAAACAAATTGGTAATATTAGGGTTGATCATGAGACGTCTAATGCGTGGCTCCACCCAACCTGTATTGAACAGTTTTTTTTTCCTGTAGTTTTTAAGAAGTTTGTAAACATTATCGTTTCAGTGTTGGATTTGTTAAATTTCTAGGTAAGTAACATTAGATTCAAATAAATCTAGCACACTAGCCCCTTGATTATTAAAAAAAAAAACAACTTACTTGTCTGGTCAGATTTTAGTCATAACCTGACAGATCAGATCTACTAGACTGGAGACTTACTTGTCTGGTCAGATTTTAGTCATAATTTGACAAATCTGATGTACCAGACTGGAGACTTACTTGTCTGGTCAGATTTTAGTCATAACCTGACAGATGAGATCTACTAGACTGCAGACTTACTTGTCTGGTCAGATTTTAGTCATAACCTGACAGATGAGATCTACAAGACCAGAGACTTACTTGTCTGGTCAGATTTTAATCATAACTTGACCGGAGACTTACCTGTCTGGTCAGACTTCCTCCCAAGTTCATGGTACCTGACCCAGGTTTATTGGTCTGAAGCCATAACATGGCTGTTGAGGTCTACAAGACCGGAGACTTACTTGTCTGGTCAGATTTTAGTCATAACCTGACAGATGAGATATACAAGATGGAGACTTACTTGTCTGGTCAGACTTCCTCCCAAGTTCATGGTACCTGACCCAGGTTTATTGGTCTGAAGCCATAACATGGCTGTTGAGGTCAGTTTGTAGTGAGCACTTCTACCACTTGATTTTTCCTGTTGAGAAAAGTTGGGTAAAAAATGAAACATTAAATCAGAACAGATTCAAATATGTCCAAATGGTAATAATAGAAACTAAGTTACTGTCTTGTAGGTTTCATATTAGAATAATGTTTGTCTGTCTGTCAAGACAAGTACAATTTTGTTTACCTAAAACACAAACCAGTGAAGATAAATATTAACAAACCTTGAGAAGTTTTGTTTTGTGTATAAGAAGTTTTAACACTATTCACAGACAAACTGTTTCTAGACTTTTAAACAGACGTGTCAAGCAATATTTACTTTATTGCTCCAATATTTAATTAATCCAAAACCACATTTATTCGACAATGTTCTGTTACAATGGTAACAGTAACAACACTTATCACCACCAACCACTAAGCCTGAAACCTTTATTGAACCACTGAGAATTGTATACAACGGTTAACAAAAATCTTTTTTTTCAACACCAGAGGTGTTTTAAAACATAAATTAACCTGGGTTTTTATTACAAAACAGCATTAAAGGAATGTTTCAGTTGGACCAAACTTCAAAAGACACGTAATTCTGCTCTGTTTACTGTCACTTCCTGAACACCTTCGACTGTCTTGTACGAAATAAAAAAAAAATCACTGAATGTATTTCCTTAAGTAATTTGTATGATTTACATTAACAAGATTCAGCAGGATTACATACCTGGACTTCTACCACATGAATTGAGTCCCAACATCCCTTAATTTTTTTAGACCCATCTCCTGCCTTTTTGATAAGGATAACCCCTGCAAACCCATGATCCAAGTCCCATAAGTACACTGACGAAACTCCTCCTTCAAAGTACATTTCCCTGTACTGATCAAAAGCTTGGTTTGCATCCACCTCCAACTTCCGTAGTCGTTCAGATGGCATGGCTCCATCATCCAATGGGGGGGTCATACGTGTTACTCCAAGGAGATCTGAATCACGGAGGAAATTCTCTGTATAATTGCACTAACATAACATTTTCATGAAAATAAATGCATACATTTTTTTAAATAATCTGGTTATGTTATTCTCACTTAACTTTTCAGAAAATCATATTATTATTATAAAAAAAAAAGCAAATATCAGTCTTCACAATATTGTTGGAGAAACTTTCAACATTAAATATATTAGCTAATACAACAACAGTTACGATTTAAATGACCAAATATTGGAAAACGATTAGGGTAAAAAAAATGTTCATAAAAACAAGTTAACTACAGATATTTTTTCCACATTCCTCTTAATTTCGCCATTGATACATATTGCGTTTCATAGAATTTTTTCTCTCTCTCATCATCCAGCTCAACTAAATGAATTCTGGTTCCGAACAACGAAAAGCTTATTGATCAGTAACTTATGGGAGACAAAAGACAGAACTGAAATGCTAATTTTTTTTACACACCACTGATTTAGAGCTTCAGTAGACAAATTCAAAGGAACGTGGAAGATAAACATCTGCAGTTAACTTGTATTAATACGAGAAGCTATCTGTTTAATGGACAGGACAACTACAGACCTGTACGAGTCTCCATCTCTGTTGTAATCACACAGTAAATAGTCCTTTCCAACTTGTTTATCACGAGCAATTTTCAGAGGCTGGTCAACTGATGACAAGAGATCTTCACACAAGCTGGGTACCTGTGGATGAGTTAAATGCATGTGATGTATCAAGTGTGGGGCATTAGTTTCTTCTTACCTGCTGGCTAACTGCCTACTATTTATGTATTTTTATGATCCTGGAAACATTTGCATTTTCAAAGTTAACTTTGTAAGAAAAGAAAAAAAGTGTCATCACCAGGTTGAATGTTTTTTAAAACATTTATTTTCATTTGTTATTCTGCACCATCTAAGCAAAATTCACACCAAATTTAATGATGCAAAATAACAAACCAGACTTGGTATAAACAATACTTAGATGATGCAAGATAACAAACCAGACTTGGCATGAATGTTGCCCCTAAGCAACATTCATGTCAAGTCTGGTTTGTTATTTTTCATCACCTAAGCAACATTCATGTCAAGTCTGGTTTGTTATTTTTCATCACCTAAGTATTGTTTATACCAAGTCTGGTTTGTTATTTTGCATCACCTAAGCAACATTCATGTCAAGTCTGGTTTGTTATTTTTCATCACCTAAGCAACATTCATGTCAAGTCTGGTTTGTTATTTTTCATCACCTAAGCAACATTCATGCCAAGTCTGGTTTGTTATTTTTCATCACCTAAGTAACATTCATGTCATATTTGGTTTGTTATTTTGCATCACCTAAGCAACATTCATGTCAAGTCTGGTTTATTATTTTTCATCACCTAAGTAACATTCATGCCAAGTCTGGTTTGTTATTTTTCATCACCTAAGCAACATTCATGCCAAGTCTGGTTTGTTATTTTTCATCACCTAAGTATTGTTTATACCAAGTCTGCTTTGTTCAAGTATACTGATCCTGTCTAGAGTAGAGAAAAAACTAACATAAAATAAAAACATCTAAAAACTTGTTTTACACAGAGAATATATTAATTATCTAACCCTAAGTTACGTGCCATCAACAACTATACAAGTTCTTAGTCTGGTTAAAATTCTAGACATGTTAAGAAATTAAACGATTTTATCTAAACCTGTTCTCATGAGGTCATGTTTTTCCTCCCATAATGTATTAACCATAAAAACATGTTTTGTGTTAAACCTTATCAGAAAACTTCACCATGGAAATGGTAACATAAATCATACTGCTCTCTGGTGTCTTTGTTTGATAAGATTATCGAAATGCCACATAATTCATAGACAGATATGAAGGTCTGGGCACTTAAAGCAGGAGTCACATTTTTTACTTTAAAATTTTTAATGTCTTGAAATAAATTCTTAGTGAGTAGTTAAGCAGAAAGAGAGCAGCGATAGAAAGTTGTGATATGAAACAAGTAAAGAAGCTTCCATGACTTTACAGATAAAAGACAGGAGGTAAGCGTGTGACGTAACACGACCATTACAAAATTATAGTTCTTTGAACTTAAATTATGAGAAGCATATACTACTTCAGAGGTTTCTTCATCCCTGAACCATTTCTCTGCTTGGGAGGAACCCCCCCCCCCCGATGAATTTTTTTTTCCTTACAAAATCATTAGATAACATGCAAAAAATAAAGAATAAACACAAAATAAATCATAATATATATAATAAGACAGAAGGGTGATTAGAACTTGTTTTTCCAAGAGGTTGTATCACATTCCTCTCTTACCTCACGCACAGGCACAGCATTGGTCGAGCATAACACGACTATATTGTATAAATATCACACTTAGCAGACTAATACAAGGCACTGAAACTACTGTATAAGTGCCTAATATTTACACTACATACATTTTTCCTGCCACGCATAGGTACTGGGGGTGACATCTATGGGTCACTAGTACAACCAAATATCATCTAGGATTTAAAATGGTAGTAGGAAAAACTAAAACATCATACGATTTGTGGAGCAGTGAAAGAGTTAAATAATCATTTTATCATATATATATATTTAGTGATGAGTTGGCCGACGCATTT